TTCTGATTAATGCGCAGTATAGTAGTATAGTATTGTAAGGTTATTGTCACTGACACTATTATATAGTAACACTTACTAGAAAAATGACTCTCCTATTTTTGCGATTAAAATAAAGAAAAGATATGTTCAGCGCTGAAAATAATTATAATTTTCCACCAGTGTAAAGACAGATGCAGAGAGAGGAGAGAGAAAGAAAAATAGATTAACAGGTAGAGAGTGTGTGTGTGTGTGTACGTGAGAAGGGTGGGGGAGGGGGGGAGTACTTGCGTCAGAACCAGTTATAAGGTTATAAGTTCGGAGATCATGAGAGACAACGAAAGGGGGAAAGGGGTAGAGAGAGGCAGACGACATGTATTATTGATGTGCCTGTGTCGCCGGCAAGCCTCCAGCTCTTCTCTTTTCTTCTCCTCTCCTCTTATCTCCGCTACCCATCATCTTTGCTACTTCGCTCTTCCGAGTATCTGCGCGCATCGTCCCTGCCCTCCCAACCCCCTTGGAAACACCCACGCGAGTCTTCCAGTTTCCGATACATTCCGCCAAGAATCCCATCGTCTCCGTCACACGATATCTTTCGCAAGCACACGCATACGCGTGCACACTTAGCAAAATCCTCCCCGTAGGTTCGATCCTACTTGGGCGAAGCTCGGCGACACGTGCAATTAACGGTATTACCGGCCGCGTTCTCCCTGAACTTTAATCTGACGCGACGGATTTCTCGAGCGATCGCGTGGGCGTGTGCTCTTCGATCCCAGAACATTTTTGTCCTTTTCTTCTTCTTCCTCTTTTTTTTTCGACCGGAGAAAATATCCGACGACGCGTATAATTCGACGGAAGAGGACTCTTGCCCACGCGGTAGATAAATCGTCGCATTTGCGCGTCGACGTCGCGATTGAGCGCTGAATTAAAGCGCGATCCCGTTCGACCGCGCTTTCGCCGGGGACGAGAGCGCACCGGCTGCGAGATCGAAACCGACCGAGGATGGATCTGCAATAATTGCAAGTCGAGTGCATTATGCACGGTCGGCCGAGTGCGGAAAGAACGTCACGCTCCCACCGACCGATCGGGAGAAAGAGAGAGAGAGGGAGAGAGGGAGATAGCGGAGACGCCGCCTTCTTCCATTAATCTCGCGGCAATCGAAATTAGCATAATTGACGGAGCGGAGAATAGCGGCCTGTTCGACTCCGAAACGCCATCTCGCATAATCTCTCCATATATCTCACTCAGTGTTTTCCGATAAAGCACGCATCCGCGAAAGGACCAACCGACGTTATCAGCGTCCGCCTCGGCATTTACACACGATGCGCCGAAATTCTTCAAAACGGCAGAATATCTCGCCGCTTCGATTTAATCCTCAAAGAAGAATCTATATATTGAAACGATTTAACGAGTTATCGATGAATTTTTAACAGGTCATAACGTTTCGATACACTGATTCCTTATCTCGAAAGAAAACGGCTGAAATCCGCGCGGCGCAAAGGCAGCGCGAATCGATTGCGATTCTGCGGGGGCGAAACTTTCGGAATAAAATTTATCCTCGAGTTTGCGCCGGGACGAGACAGGAGTCGCGATCACGAGGTAATCGGTAACACGTCAGATTTTCGTTTCAGAAAGAGGAGAAAGGGGGGGAGGGCAAAAAGGAGAAAAAGAAAGATCGAGCCGCGCCTCTTTCGCACTCCGATGAAAATATGCGCGTCGTTTGTATTCACGGTACGCGGAGAAACTTAAATTGCCGCGATTAAACTCGACACCACGAGCGCGACGGGAGATTAATGAATTTTCGGATGCGTAAAATCCTCCCGATACTCGCGGCAACATTTATACGGGATCAATTTGTGAAGCGCGCGTTGTTCGACTGGTTTTAATAAACGAGCGCGCGAAGGGCATGCAGATCGCGAGATAGGATACACATCTCGGACGGACCGCGAGAGAACCGACGGCTTTTTCACCCGATCGCGTCCTTCCCTTTCTCCCACTCTCTCTCTCTCTCTCTCCCCCTCCACCTCCCATCCTTTCGTCTCTTTTTCCCTCCCGCGCATCTCCTTGAGCAAGACGTATCGACGCGGATTTTTTTCCGCGTCAGTCATTTATCAAAGCCCTTCGTTCGCGGCCACCCCAACCCACTCGATACACGCGGATCCGGCTGAGGATTTAGGCAAAGAGACTAGACGGAGGTGGAAAAGGAAAGGGGTGGCGGAGAGAGAGAAGACGGAAGGGATATGCCCTTCCTTGGACCGCATCCGGCAGTAACGGATCGAGACACGGAAGGATCCCCGAGCAACCCTCGCGCTTTGCTTGCCGCTCCGTTATCAGCGCGATGGTTCGCGCGGGAGGGGAAAGGTCGCGGGACGCTCCTCGGCCGTCCGATATCCGCGATTTTCCGCCGCGTTATCCGCCGTTACTTTCAGCGCGTTCGACGTTCCGGTGCGCTAAATCTTCCGTCCGGCCGTGACGAATAAAGGTAAAAATACAGACGGACGTGACGGCCGGGGAGGAGGGGCGAGGCGCCGCCGCGCACGTGGCAATTAAGGCCGAGGCATTAATCCTGGAAAATGCAGCGGACCGCGCCCCGCAGTTTTCCAACGTTAACCCGCAATTTTTGCCCGGCCACGTCCTCGCACGCAACCTCTACCCGAGAGGGCTCGCTCCCGCCCTGTCCTCCTCCGTTCTCTTTCACAAGAGCTTCATCGAGTATCGGATGCTTGTGGTTTTAGCGCGTGAGCGGAGGAACCCGGCAACGTAAATCCCCCGCGAACTCCGACGACCTACGACCGTTGGATATGAGATAGGGGCGCGACTCGCACCTGCCAAATCCGTGTCTCCCTACCGGCGCTTCCGGGGAACTCTCTGCATCCCCCGAAACATCGTAAAGAGAGAGAGAGAGAGAGAGAAAGGAGAAATTCGCGAGAGAAGAATCTCGAAGAGCGCGACATACGCGACATCGTACTCGTAAAGTTTCCACTCGCGCGAGTGCATATTTAATAAGACGACGGCGGCACCCGAACGGCGCAGGTATTTCTCAGACACGTTAATCCATCCCTTTCCCTTAGCTACTTTACCATCCTACTTCTATTCCTTCGCGGTAGTTTTCGCGCTATATTTCGCACGGCGACGAGCACGAGACTCGGCGCGTGATAAAAGAACGCGCGCGTACGCAATACCGTTCTGTTATAAAAAAGGCGGCGAGTAGCCGAGTCGGCCGTCGTTAAAAATTTACAACGAGGACTCATGCGCAAGTGGAAAATAATCTGATCGAGCACGATGAGAAAATGACGCTTAGCCACGGACGATGACGAGGACGACGGCGTTCCGGCTGGACCGACGTATCTTTCCATCTCCCGGAGCTTTCTTGCGCGCTTCCGTGCTTCTATAAACTCCGGGCGGTGGTGCGTACGCGCTACGACCTTTTGTTATCTCCTTTGAAAGAGACGCGAGTGCATATTGCATTACCTCGCGCAGAGCGCAAGGGAAAATGGAGATAGACGGCGAGAGAAAAGAGAGCGGCCGGGGCGTCAGAGGAGCGGGTCAACTCAACTGAGTTTCATAAATATTTTCTATACAGGCGTCGCCAAACTGATTTACGGTAGCTGAAGGACGAGCATAACGTCAGCTCTGATGTAACGTAACGTGACGAGACTCGGACGTTATTCGTCTCGTTGCGTCAATCGTGAGGGAAAAATATGTAAAATGCACGCAACGAGAAAATGTATTTAATGCGTGAGAGGAAAAACCTGCGTTCGCGAGAGTTTAATGCGAAGTTGGCGCGGCTGATTCTTTAAGGGAGTGATCATCGGCGAACCCGGTAATACCATTGTCGAAATTTCCTCACGATGAAGTGGATGGAAGAATCGAGAGGGGATTGGAGAAAATCCGCGGGGTTACGCGAGTAAGGGCGAGCAAGCTCGATTTCAAGCGAGATTTAAGAGCCACTCTCTCGGGGTGCCGAAAAACGAAGGACACCCTCGTCGTGAAATACGGATGTTTGATTAGGAAAACACCTTGTATATTATCTCGACGTGTATGGAGTGTGCCATCGCATATGCAAATACGGCGATGTCCGAGAGGCAAATACATGCGACCGTAAGATAAGAGCGGCTCAAGGGCTCGGATGTCCCGGCTAGAATCCAAGCGGGGCCTCCACCTCGCACTCGATCGAATTACGGATTAATAGCGATAAGCCCCGCTGGCCGAATAAAGTTACGGTAAAACTAGCCTTACAAAGAAACCCATAATAGTCTCACCCCCTCTCCACGATTTTAATGAGCTTTTAATATGTTGTAGACTAGATCGAAATAAGGGTTAAGTATTTTTCATAAAAGCTCATATATATATTTAGGAGGTATAATATATTTTTGAAAAAGAGTAGTTTTTAAATTTATGAGTGAAAACATATTCAAACGATAAAAGGGAGAAAATAAACTTTCGAACAAAAATATCCCAATAATACTACTCCACATGCAATATTTATTTTTTTAATATACGCACGCACGCACGCACGCACGCACGCACGCCCGCACGCACGCACACACACACACACACACACACGCGCGCGCTTTTGCGTCTATTCTATTCTGCCTCTATCCTATTCTTGTAAATGACAAAATGTAAAATACGTAAAGGAATAACATGTTGACGGGTCAGTGGAAGAATAGTGATTACATCATTGCAGGGACAGGCAATTGTATCGTGGATCAATTTTACACACAACGCCAAATCAAATATATCATTCAAAAAAGCAATACTTGAAATACGTGAACAATTAAATGAAAACTTTCGTTTTAGAACATATGCAACTAATTACTAATAAAATCTAATCCATTTTATCTGGCATATCGTGTTAAAATTCGACAGATGTTATAAAATGTCATAATTGTTTAGTATCATCTACCCAGTAAACACCAACTAACAGTAACATAATACCAATGCTATTATTTCTCTTTCAACGTAACGAATATAAAAAACATAAATATACAGAAATATTGCCAAACAAAGGTGATAATATTAAACGATCATAATTTAAATATTAATTCGTTAAATGAAAGGCAGATCGATTTCGTCTACTGCATATAATAACAGGACGATTCTCGTAAAAAGCCCTCGTTTTATTCGTCAAAAGTAACGGAAAAAAGAAAATAACGAAAAACCACAAAATCGAAATAACCTAAGAAAGAAAATAAGTACACACAATAAAATATTAAGAGACAGAATTCCACATGTAAAGATACCTCCCACCACTCTACCGTTTCTAAGATGACTATAAAGTAGCTATGTAAAACAGTTCTTCTTCAGTTTTCTTTGTGAGTTCCCTGAGAGCAGTATATTCGGTACTTGACTACGCGAAGCTTATTCGAAAGAGACAATTTCGTGCGAGCGTGATTCAAACTTTTCTAAAATCTGTCCGTAAAAGTAACTGACTGTAAGTCGTGCTGCCATGAATTTTGTAAAACATTACGTTAGAGCGAACATGATGCAACGTGCAACCGCCAAGGACATTATGGAGGAATTTAGCAACGAGTTAGCAATGATACGAGGAAAATGCATCGACATAGGATCGGGACCTGGAGACATCACAAAAGAATTGTTGCTCCCTCGATTACAACCCGACGTGATAGTCGTAGGTAGGTAAACGAATGGAAGTTTGGCACGAGTTTGCTGGTGCCTTTTCCTTTTTTTTTCATCTCTTGTCCTGCAGGTTCCGATATATCTCAATACATGACGGATTACGGGAATATAAATTATGCTGAGGACAAACGATTGTCTTTTATCGTTTTGGATATTGAAACAACGGAATTGTCGAGTGAGGAAAATGGACAATATGACTTTGCTGTGTCCTTTTCGTGTTTACATTGGTGTCAGGATATGAGGTACTTTACTTTCTTCTCAAGTATTTTACTCTCGTCGCGAAAAGTACGATGGCGATTATGCAGATTATATAATTGTTTGGAGACAATATAACGAGACGTTTCACCCTTTTGTAAATGCAGAATTGATAGTTTTTGTACAGTTTCTACAAAGAAAAAGTATATCTGATGCGCACATATACGTGAGATCTTTGCGTTCCATTAGAAAAGATATGTAGCCCATAAAATTTACAAAGATATGCGCCCCGTTCGGACGATTAGCAACCCTCTAATAGTGTCACATTTACAGACGCGTTTTCGGGAATATTTACAAGCTGTTGCGACCGAACGGTAGAGCACTGGTCGAATTTATAGCACATCACGGCGCCTTTGAATGTTATTACAAACTGAAAAGAAATGCGCAATACGAACCTTACATGCAGGTAACGATGACAATAAAGATAAACCTACACATACCTAATGAGATAATAAGTCCAGCAGAGATCACTTTCAACTAAACATGTGTTTCTATCTGCAGGATGTAGACCGTTACATACCGTATTTCCAAAACTGTAAAAACCCGAGAGAATCCTTGCGAAAGATCCTAGACAACACAGGCTTTAAAATCATTCATTGTAGCCAAAGGGAGGCAACATTTACTTTCGAGAGCAAAGAGATACTCAGAGGTATGATACCGTGAGAACATTTCTTTCGAATAATGAGCGATATAACTGGTAACAAACACATACAACTTTTCGAATAGAGAAAAAAATATGATTAAATTAGATGATCGTAAGTAAATAAACGCTGATTCGATTGCCACAGATTCGTTTTCTTTCTTTGCTCAAGGCTCCCGGGTCCTCGCTATGACTGTTCTGTTTTGATGACGTCAAAAGCGAGAGATCAGAAGCCTTAAGTCTAAAGCGACGTTTGTACTTTCGCAGAACACATATTAGCAGTCAATCCTTTCGTCTCAAGAATGCCCGATGATATCAAAGACAAATTCATCGACGATTTAACGGAAGACATAATACTCCATCAGATCGTGCGTCCGCATAAAATGAAACAACAAACACAAGAACCCGAAAACCAGACAATCACACTGGACAGATATTACACTTTACTGGTATACGTCAAAAGACCACGGTCCGCTCCTCTATGCATAAAATGTAACACAAATATATAAGGATATTTACAGATTTTATTCCTATCGACGATACAATACCGAGTCAAGTTAAGATTAGAGATTGTTTTAATTTGTTAGAATTTTCTGCCGTTTTTGTGGGAAATATATCGATATTAAGATATCGATTTAATATTACTATAAGCAAATTATTGTTTCTCAAACACTCGAACAAGTAACCAATTAACATGGAATTATTATTTTTATATTAGCACGAGTAGAGATATTTCTATACTACCCAATAATGCAACTAACTATTTCGCTGTGCTAAAATTGAAAAATAAATTCTACACAGACAATCACAGGAATGAAACGTGTTAGATTATCTCCACCCCATCGACATCTCCTCAAATCAAATATTTCTATTTATCTTCTACGAAGGCGCACTGGCAGTGGATACGATGAAAAAGGGAAAGAAAAACGACAACGCAACATCTCACCTGACTTCACCACACCTTATCTCACCAACCGTCGACCAACCTGTGTCTCCTACAACACTAAACTTTATTGTACGCTATGTCTTTGATTTTACAGTAGTACAGCCATTTATAGAATATCATCGTAATTCGTGGGTCATTGTACGGATATAAGTGGGCGTTATGATATACTGATATTCGCATAGCGGGTAACAATGTCGCTAATTCTGTTCTCTAAAAAATACACCCAAGGTTTACAAATAGTCTTAAAATTGCTGACACCGATCTGTTCTGACAACCGTGCGCGCTTCTCGAGAGGCGTACGACTAGCTTCGCGCATCGAAGAAAGTCGCGCAAGCAAATTAGCATTAATCTCCTCTTTTTTCCCCCCTCCTCTCTTTCTCCCTCGTTAATGCCTATTCCCCGATTACGCAGCGTCGCGATAATTAACCGCACATCGATCCATGCGGATTTCTTCCGTAGTCGCTCTATCTCGATCTAATTCGAAGCGAGGATGCTCGACCCGTGAGCGAAACTAGGCGCACTTTCCTCAAGCGACAGCGCATTTGAAATTTTTCGACGTATCGAAAATGGAAGCGATCCAGACTACCATTGTGTACTGCTGCTGCTGCTGCGGCATGCCACGAAATATTCTCTATTCTTTCGGGATGCTACGACGCTCGTTTGAATAATGCAGAAAAACAATTTTCTACGCGCGTAAGTGAGGCTACCGCTTGACCTCCTCGGCATAATTCATGAAGCTCTACGCAAAAGCTCGAAACGAATCCTCTCCGTGGAGAAGTTAACATAACGCACAAATATGCCGCGGACGATTGCGAAAGACTTTACGACACTGGTATCAAAATCTCAATATTCAAATCGAGCATCGCGACGAGTAGCCGTTCACTCGGCTACAATCGCCCGTGAACACACCACGTGTTCCGTCAGTGAACACGCATGATCCCGAAAAAAAATCCAAATCCCGAAATTTGAAAAGTGGGATATCCGCGCAAAGATACTGCCGTTAAAAGTTACAGAATAGAGGCCTTAGATCGGTATTTGTAGTTGTCAATTACTTACGATTTTCGAGATTGAGAGCATAATCAATTACAAGTTCATATTCATGGACTACCATTTGGTTATTTGAGTCGACATTTCATATGTTATGTATGAAATAAATATAGATTAATGAATAATCAAATTTATCGAAAGCATGCAATTATCTCGAAAAGTCACAATACTGAAAACCGATTACTGGAACGACAATCCGAAATATTGAAAGAAATGATAACTTTGCGAGACAACTTTATTTTATCCCAAAATTTCGGGAGATTGTCCCGGTATTTAGTTTTCGGGATTGTGACTTTTCGGGATATTGTTCTATTTTGTGAATTTGTATTTTTTTTTTTCCGAGAACATGCATGTTCACCATTCCGCCTATTCGTTTCATGCTATCTCTCTCTCTTTCTCTCTCACGGATGCAATTAACGGTAGGAAAATTCACTAACTGGATAAATCTTAGTCATCAATATCTTCGAGATAGTCGTTACAAACGTGGACATCACCTGCCACAACAGCCTCCCATGATCCGTTATACGACGATCAGGAAACGGAACTTCGTATGGTTTCACACTGAATATATTTCACCGATTACGTATATTTTCTTTTTTCAACTTTGTTCTCATTAGAATAGATCGAGATACGTTTAGACATCGACTTTCTCAACACAAGTAGCGAGTTGTTGGAGTAGCGAGTATATTATCCGTCCCAACAATAACAAGCGCAGAAACAATAGCACGTGTACCGTCAATACACGATAATCGAGCCGTCCCATATCGCGTCTCAGCTCCGCTCGCGTGGAAAGAATCACCCGCCGTGAAACCGTATGAATTTCCGTCCTGATGATGATTCCTGGTAATTAGCATGTAGTACATAATAAACGTGCTCGAACTGAGCGGTGTTTTGTATAATCATCGCGATAATCGTAAAGCATCAGATCCGATGAGCGTCGAGCCTCGCCACGATTTTTGATTATCAAAACTGATTTCGTCGAACGAACGAGACGGGCGGAGGGTGAGCCCGTGAAAGTCAGACGAACGTTCAATAATTGTCCCCCCGCTTCGAGTTATTCAGTGCTCGTTCGTAACGGAATAATAATCGTGGAGACTTCGATATTATATCTAAATATTTTCTAGATGCATTCTCTCGAAAGCGAGATCCAACAATATTCGCGATTCGAATGCTTTACGGTCGCTCTGGATTTTAAGGGCTAAATCCGTAAGATTATTAGGTATACATTTATCGATTACGAGCTAATATCATTATGGCAAACGGAGCACGCTTCTTAGTGTACCGATCACGTGGTAGTCTCTTATTCGTAGAAAGGACATCGAACATCGAAGACGATTATTTAGAAAAGAGGGATACCTGGATACAGAACAGCGAAGGATGATCGAGGGCAAGGCACAAGTGAGTCAGAGGAGAAATCATTTTTGGATGAAACTCTAGTCTCTGTCCTAATCGTTTCCCATTACGTTCCTCTTGTCGCGATCAAGATCGAGACATCGCGAGATATACACACATATATATATAATATAGTCAGACATCGCCGAGACGTGATTAATCGACAACTATTGCTAACAACGGGACGAACTTCTTATTTCTACTGACTCGAGTTGAAATTTCGAATCTGCCTTAAGGCCGGTATTCACAGTTCGTTGTCATTTAATAAATAATCATAACTTCATGAAACCTGGTTATTTGTTAATCTATATTTATTTCACACAATACGAAATATCGAACAATCAAATATTAGAGTCCGTGAGTGTGAACCTATAATTGATTACGCTCTCGATTGGAAATCGTAAGTAATTGACAACTACAAAGATCGATTTAAGGCCCCTATTCTGTAACTTTTATATTGCTGTGCAACGTCATTGTATACACAATTGTCATATTTTCTCCTACAACTTCTTTCTTCTCAGCCTTGTGGCAATTTTAAATTATATCGAAAGTTCCAAAAAACATTATCGGAAGCGTAAACCGGCACTTGCAAGATTTACACCAAATTATAAAGACAGTGTTCACAATTATGAAATATGTAGTCTTTAATTGAAAGCATAATTACACATGCGTACTCAAGGAGCGTTATTAAACCGATATTTCTTGCGTGGAATAAGCACAGCCCGACAAGTAATGAGAAATTCAGGAAGCTAGGATGATTTGTGAAATAACGACGGACCATGAATACCGGTTTTAATGTTGACCCGGACACTCGCCCGATTCGTCTCGCGCGTCCACGTGCATCTCCGTGCCGCGATTAATCATTTCTTTATACTGTCGAGATTTCAAAACGAAGACGTCAAATACGCATACCGTATGCATGTTACGATAAATCTCTATTAAAAAAAAAAAAACATTAACTGCATATTCAAGACTGCTGTTTAGGTACTTTCGCTTGGAAATGTTCGTCGTTGAAGTTGAATTTAGAACTTGATCCCCGGATCAATGGAAATTTGAATAAAAAATAAAAAAAAAGAACAACGGACACTGACTAGCAATTGGAAAATCAAAATTCGAATAATTAAATATTCACGTGAACGAGATATCGACATGGTGAAATGAAATTGCGCGACGAGAATAAATGAAATACGTACTGAAGAAATCTAGTCAACGGATACTAATTATACCGTCTAACCGTGCTCAATGCCGCGACGACGTTTCGACTCATTAGTCGTGAGTATTAGATCCTAACACTTTTCCAATTGATAACAGCGATCACACAATAACGAAGAATTCGTTCCAAATGGATCACGCCTAACATACCGATACCGATTGATACCCTAACTTAAAGTTTATCAATGTGGAATGCAGGAGAGGAGAATCGGAAGACAGGAATACGAAAATCAAAATATGTGAACACAACAAATCATTATAATCTCATCCCTCTCTCTCTCTCTCTCTCTCTCTCTCTCTCTCTCTCTCTCTCTCTTTCTCTCGTCGCTGCACTATTTATAAAAAACAAAAGTACGACCTAAAGACAACCGGAACCCAGTTGCAGTTGCGATCGGGGAATACAAACGAGACTACCGAGTAGTAGAATAAGGCTGTCATAGTTGCACAATGCGTAAGGTGCGGAACAACGGAACAAGCTAACGTAGGGCATCTCTCCTAAGACAAGTCGCACAGTCGGAGTTGTCGTCGATGGCGACGACGCTGGTAACGAGACCGATGCGATGCCGGTCGAGTCGCTACGACGCTAAAGAGGGAAGACGAAATCATTTGTACGGGACATAGCTACTAGTCTCTCGATATGAACCTGGTACAACGTATACATCTGTGTATATGCGCACTACTACATGTGACACCACGCGTCAGGCATTTACACTCACACTATCGACCACTAACTACGACGTAACAATCAATCGCTGAGTTTGTCCCCCTTCTTACATTTCATCTCCTCTCGGCGCTCTAACTATCCTTACTTACGAATAACTCACACTCACGTAAACACACGCCTAGCGCGGGCAAAAGCCAACGCTACAACAGTCGCAATCACGGTATCAATCAAGCTGTCGGTCACGAAGCGGATGTAGAGTCGTTGAACGTAAAGACTGGCGCTGTTGAGCGCGCTCAACGGTACGGCACGTGCCGCAATGTAACAATCAACAGCGTCGAATTAAAGACGAATGAATGCCACCGCGCGCGATCGGCGACGCGCGTGTGTCGTAAGGCAAAGTTACCTCGGAATAAGGTCTCCCCTCAACCAACTCAGAATCGCAACGTCACGCAAGAGCCCCGCGAATCCGCAAAAGAATATCGTCGTTGCATCTTATGTACATCGAAGTTACTCTATTTCATTGTCGGTTCGAGGATCAGCGAGAACGTCGCTGTGCTGAATAAAAAAAGAAATAGTAGAAGAGAACCTGAAGGCGATGGAAGATCGCGCGGTATTGTAGCAATAGCAACGAATTCGTAATATCTTCGATCTATCGGCGCAGTCTAATCGACCGCCACTCCCGCGGAAAATATTTCGGAGTCTCTCTCTCTCTCTCTCTCTCTCGTGCGCGCTAACAAGTAACCTTCACCAAGTGACACACGTCGATTTTGTTTAATTTTCAAGTTTGATATAACATCGCACGAGATGATTATTTATGCAAGAAAAATCAGCTCAATATCTATTATAACGTTTATACAGGGTGTCTTATTTCTAACGACACTATAAAATATTTCACAAACGTATTTCAGAAAAACAGATTTTCGGACAAAAGTTACTCGGTTTTAAAGGTAGTAATCTCTATTCAATCGTGAGATTTCCTCCCGAGGTCAGTCAATTTTTTCAATGAAATTATATGATATTTTTTTACGTAGTTTGAGCTAATTCTTTTTGCATAATCATCTAATGTGGTCTTGTAATAAATCTCAAAAGATAAGCAAAATCGGCGTACATCGCTCGGCAAAAATTACTTGTAAGAAGGAGACTATCGTCATTTTGTTTCCGTTGTTTTTTTGTTTCTTCCTTTTTAATTCTTCTCCTCTTCGTAGATGTATCCGTGTCGTCGCGGAGGACCTCTCTCACTCACACTTCGATGCTTCGAAAGAATCGATGGAGGACGACGTAGCGTCGGGACCGTAGTGTTCAGGTACGAAGAATCGTTGTTAGGAGATCCTTGTTATTACATTGCCGTGCTCAAGGGTTCGACGATGGAAGGGACGCGAGACAGCATACAGCGGAAGACCTTAGCGGATAAACCTGCTTCGCGCGAGAAGCGCTGCGCTTCCGGCACAATCGCATCGGCGGCGGCCGTTTAGACGGGCCGATTTGAGTCTCTCGGTCATTACGAGTGCGCGATGTCGCCGGGAAAAACGGAACTCATAACGGGGAAAAGAACGATATACACAGCTGAGCCGATTCGCTACGATCGTTTGTAGGCCGTTTCAAACTACACATACCTTATAATATATGTATAATGTATGCCTGTAATATCTTCCGGCGATCTTATTTCCGGAACGACGAGCACGTCCGTTACAGGGATATCGGCGACGCGATCTTTCGGCGCTTCGACGTGCTCTATAAATATCTATTTGGCAAATCTTATAGCGTTACAGAGTGCCGGCATCTCGCGAGAGGCGCCGCTCGCTGAAGTTAACCACCATGGCGTTCAGCACAGACACGTGCCTGGGATCCTGGACCTGGTAACACGGAAGTGATCCTCGAGAATCCCCAGTGATTCCTCGAGGTTCTCTTCGCTTTTCGGGGAAGCGAACCAGCGACGTCCAAGAATAACCGGCGACGCCAGGGTGGTTAAGGCAGACGAGATCGCAGGTACAGTAAACTGGTAACATCGCGACGCACGCGTCCGAAGATCGATCGAACGGGCGGATCAACAGCAAGTAATCCGCGCGCGCGAACATGCTCGTCGTAACGTAGAACTCCTGCTCCTTTTCCCTTTTTATCTTATTCTTTTTTCTTTTTTCTCTTTTTCTTTTTTTCTAATTCCCCGTAAAGTTCCTATTAACAACGATTATACGCTAGCCACTACTCACTTTGTATCGCTACCCTACGATTAACAACATCAACAGCAACAACACATAATATATCAACGTGAATATATCTATACCATTAGAGCGTAAATCTATGCTCGTATATATATGTACATACGTGTATGTATATGTGTGTATCCATGTGTCTCTCTCTCTCTCTCTCTCTCTCTCTCTCTCTCTCTCTCTGTGTGTGTGTGTGTGTGTGTGTGTGTGTGTGTGTGTGTGTGTGTGTGTGTGTGTGTGTGTGTGTGTGTGTGTGTGTGTGTGTGTGTGTGTGTGTGTGTGTGTGTGTGTGTGTGTGTGTGTGTGTGTGTGTGTGTGTGTGTGTGTGTGTGTGTGTGTGTGTGTGTGTGTGTGTGTGTGTGTGTGTGTGTGTGTGTGTGTGTGTGTGTGTGTGTGTGTGTGTGTGTGTGTGTGTGTGTGTGTGTGTGTGTGTGTGTGTGTGTGTGTGTGTGTGTGTGTGTGTGTGTGTGTGTGTGTGTGTGTGTGTGTGTGTGTGTGTGTGTGTGTGTGTGTGTGTGTGTGTGTGTGTGTGTGTGTGTGTGTGTGTGTGTGTGTGTGTGTGTGTGTGTGTGTGTGTGTGTGTGTGTGTGTGTGTGTGTGTGTGTGTGTGTGTGTGTGTGTGTGTGTGTGTGTGTGTGTGTGTGTGTGTGTGTGTGTGTGTGTGTGTGTGTGTGTGTGTGTGTGTGTGTGTGTGTGTGTGTGTGTGTGTGTGTGTGTGTGTGTGTGTGTGTGTGTGTGTGTGTGTGTGTGTGTGTGTGTGTGTGTGTGTGTGTGTGTGTGTGTGTGTGTGTGTGTGTGTGTGTGTGTGTGTGTGTGTGTGTGTGTATACATGTGTGCGTGTGTAACGTACATAGGCGCATAGATGCGCGTACGTCACACGAATGTAAGAAAAGAACGACGCCGATAATCGTGTTTCAAGCAAAGTATGCGACGTATCCGTGTGACGGTGATCACACACGGCGAAAAGGATCTCTCTGGCAAAACACACAGCGTCGATCTAATTGAAAGACATAAATGCATAGGTAAATCACACTGTGCACGAGAAATGACTAATTAGGTAACGTAGAACGACGAGAACTGACGTCATTGGAATATAAGAAAAAGGTAAAACTATATAATCGGAAGCTCGTGTCGCTTATGCTCCAATTCACCTCTGAAAATTTCTCCCTTTCGATGAGACAATATGTATGTGTACATATATAGATCGAGTCATCAAAATATATATTGTGACGACAAGTCTGCGAATCTTCGATTCTAAGCGATATCGAGAGAAACCAAGATCTACGTCCGTAATACAATACGCATATAATAATACCGCGAACCTTAAAGAGGTACATTCGCAAAGTAACGCAACGATTACACTAAAATACGTACTTCCTTAGAGAGGCGAAACATTGAAAGAACTTACAAGCGTAGCAAACTAACGTCGGAAGGAGGAAACCCCAAATAAATATCACTATGCAAAAAAACGCTGGAAAGAGATTGCGCCATCAATGACGAGCTGCGAGTCTAGTGTAATATGATAGAATCTATGAATGCTTAACCGATCTCTACCACTGTCATCATCACACCATGGAAATTGCTTGATGTCGCGAAGGATGCGTCGAACCGGTGTCGATAACGAAATTTGTCCAATCTCGCGAAAAAACGCCGACATTTGCGCGCGACGACGCTATTCGGATTCTTCGTGCTAGACGTGGTGGAGCTACGCCTCGAATACACTCACGTCATCCTCACGTTACAACTGTCCAATAGATCGGGAAAGAAAATCAACCGCGTCAGTCACGATAACAAAGCAATCTCACGAACGATCGGTACAACTTCATTCACAGAAGAAACGCAACCACGAGAATTGGCATCGACTAAAAAATGGTAACTCTGCGGTGCGACGCAATGAATTCGTGCGTGTGTGTGTGTGCGTGTAAACTTAAGTCTACCGAAGAGATACGCAGTAATGTCGACTATCCTCCTGCAAAGAACGCGCGACACCGTCATGGCTATTTAAAGTAAATCCAAATGCCATTACTCTCTTTATATTATGTAACAACGAACCAGGGTTGGCAAAATTCCAGATTTTTTTGTCAGTGGAAAAAATCGGCAGAAACTGGTCTTTTCTATTAAAAACAATAAAATAAATAGGCAACTTTTTTATCGATATTCTAATTCACGGGCAGCCTGAGACGCCCCATAGTTCTATGCGCAAGAATTTGCACATGAAAAACAAAAGAAAAATCGTCGGAACTAAAATATAGCTGTGACAGCTAAAATGTGTCTTTGAAATACGGACTGTTACTGTCGTTGCTACCGCGGCTGAATTTATTAGCTGTTTGAATTTAGACGCTATAGTGAAAAATATAGCATTAAATCAAATAAATGGTTAAATTCCACGTAAAATCAGCATACAATTAAAACCGTAAAGACAGCTTGTGTAAAAAGAAAAACATTAAATTTCTGGTTAGGAATATGAATATGATTTTAGTATTATTGTGCGTTCTAGCTAATATATCTCTCGCTGTAGTGCCTAAATTTAAACAGCCAATAAATTTAGCTGCGGCAGCAACGACTTTAACTGTCCCCATTTCAAAGACACATTTTAGCTGTCACAGTTAGACTTTAGCTACTATGACTCATTCTGTCTCTGAGTGTATTCATATTTCCTATAAATCTTTCCACGCAGCTGTGTTAAAATAATTATTATACGTCTATCATTTTCTAGTGAAGTATAGTCAGTTAATATGAGTAATTTGACGAATGAATTAGAAGGAAGGACACTGTGTGCAATTAAAAGACACAAGGACACTGTGTGCACTTGCCTTGTATCCTGTTCTATTAATAACATCAATAAGCAGAAATGTATCCCTTGTGGAACATTAACAAGTGCAAAAAATGCAAAAATAATATTTTCAAAAACATAATAAAGTTAAAATAAACGTAAGCGCGATCTATATTGGTAAAACCGGACCTAAATTGGTAAAATTTTTTAATTTTGTTACTATTGTTCTTCTCATTAAACTGAAAACTAATATAAAATTTAATGAAATTTACATCTACAAAGTTTCTATATTAAAAATGTATTTCATATTATTTGAACTAAAAAAAGAATAAAAACTTTATTATTATATCGTTTATCTTTATATATATAAATTATAGCAATTTATATAATTTACTAATTAAAGCAAAGATATCCTTTTGCATAAAGTTATATATAAATTTTTTTTAGTATTATACATTAGTCCTAATAGTTTTTGCCAGTTTATTTCATTGAATAAAGTTCGAGAAAGTAAAAACCGAAATTTACATTGGTTTTTCTCATCTAATGAAATTTTCCGACCAACCCTGCAACGAATGAAATCTCACGTTATGTCCGAGGGAAGTGCACGGGTTATAACTTTTCTTCAAGTACTAATATTCACTGTTCTTATGATTGCGAGATGTACTATCGCCAACAATAATAAATGCATCTATCTTAATTGATAATTGTCTTTCTGCTCATGAAGAGAACTCACGCGAAATAATCGCGAGTGACTCCAGCAGAAATTTACTCTACTCGTCGTCCGTAAAACTTGTGAAAATGATACAACGCGATTCTACAACAAAATGATAGTAAATTTGAGATTTTTTGTATCATATGAGATTCATTAGATTATTGCGTACACGCGTACTATTATTGCGTACACGCGATGTAACAAATTATGTATGTAAAAGAACACAAATTTTAAACAAATAAAAAATTTTGATTAGATTTTTGTGTACAATAATATCGTCGTAAAACTTCGTTATAAAATTTTATATCGTTGTTCGAGAAAGCAATTTCGAAGAGAGTTGGAAAAATTGACAAAATTAAAAAAAAAAACTACAAAACACCGATTAATATAACTGAGATGGACACACACACATTTGTGTCTTGTGAACATTCGATATAAGTCGTCACATCAAACTGCAATATAATCTGTTTAATAATCGAGATTCACGTGCGTTTAGTTAAGTCTACGGATAAGCGGATCAGTTTTTGCACTCTAATGCGGATACATACTCGTTCGATAATTCTGTTGTTAAGCGGAATCAGATTCAAAGCGGAACTCTTTCGATGTAAGTACGTGCAGCGAAAGAATGTGCTCGACTTGAAATACAACGCGTATTAAAAAGCGTCTCTTTAACGAGCGCACTAAATGCCACAAGATCACTCGTAAATCATTTTCTATTTGACTTGCCAAATATTTAACGATAGATAGAACTGTCAGCGGCTGAGAGAATAAAGTTCGGTCTCTAGACCGAAAGTGTAGGATGCACGTGCGATCCCTCGACTAACGCAAAATAAATAATACAAACCGCGATGAAACAGCCGCGCGCGTTGTTTAAGTATATGTGTGTATGTATGTGTATGTTTGTATGTATATATATATATATACACACATATATATATGAATATATATAATATTAAATATTCTGTATATAAGAAGTCATCTTTGATTCCATTATCGTTATTCGCGCGATTATCGCCAAGATAATTCCGCCGAGCAATCACGATACACCCCCGCGTACCTCTGGGCTTCGTTAAATCAACGCGTTAAATAAATAGCGGACTTTTACACGATACGGACTTACGAGATGCATTACAAGTTTTAATCTTAAGTTCGTTATAATTACGAAGAATCCCTTCACAGATATCTGTGTACACGTATCGTAGTGCATAGTCTAAAATATCGTACGATTAGAAACAACAAGGACAATGTTACCTCGTAACATTTTTGATTGTCTTCCTCAAAGAGGTTCGCCCGACCGGACCGTCCGGGATACCAAAGAGAGCCGCTCTACACGGTAGGATACTGAGATATTCTCGCGCCCGCGGCAGAATATAATAACGTCTCAGTATGTTTTTCCCCCCCCATAGTATGGGCAACCCCGGGAAAAAAAAAAAATTACTTTATACGGAGTACTTTCAGTCAAAAATATATCAGATCGCTATCGCGTGCGCGTGCGCGCGCACGTTCGTGCACATTTTCCTTAGCACTTTCCAATGTTTCTCCTCTAGGCCAAAGAGATTATACCCTCTCGATATATTTCTTATCATTCTGACTGGAATCTCCTGAGATCTGACTTACGGAGTAGAGTCGAGAAGATCAATTCATTTGCCGCGCAAACGGAGTATCTTGTGGAACGCAATTAGAATTAGTTTTGTAATCGATTAAATAACGCCTTATGCATATAACAACAATATTAAACGTTAGCACTTAGGAAGGTTGCTCTTATTTAGAATTATACACCCACTCTCGCACGTATCTTACGCGAACGATCTTGCTGCTCGTTATCGTGCAACGTAACCGACGACAGTAGCGTCGGCTACTGTTTCAGATCCCCAAATTCCCAGACTGCTTAATACTGTGCGAAGTAACTCAGATTTATCATTAAAGTTTGACCGTTTCTATTTCTTCCCCTCCCTTTCTCTCCTTTCCTATCTTTCTTTCTCTTCCTTTCTCTCGCGTTATTAAGCAGACGTTTCTTTTTTTTATCGTAAAGAGATCACGACATAGTGCGTGTTCCGTATAGTCTAATGATCGATCGAAGAATCGATCAAACACGTATTCAATCGAATAATGATCATTGTAGTAAAAGACACAGCGTTGAAGTAATAGAAAATTACCTCGATCCCATTATTCGACACCTAATCTCTTGAAGTATTAAACGGTAAAAGTTCGGTATATACATACAATAATATCGTACATACGTAAGACGCTGCTCGTCCGTGCATCGTGCATCACACCGAGCTGCCCGAGATCACGATCTCTCGATACGGCCGACACTGTCACCGTGTCGACATCTCCGCTGAGAGACCGCGAGATGAGTCTTCTTTTGTCATTGTCGAGCACCTGTAGATAAGCACTGTATGCCAACATCGTTAGTCGTAAGTAAGTCGGTTCGTTTCCCCGTGCGTGTCGGGAGGCATCACGACTGAGTAACAATCTCAGTTTCTCCTCTCAACATGTCCCTTTCTCTTTCTCTCTCGAATTACAGAATTCAAACCCGTGTTCGACGCACCAAGTTGCATATGGGACACCTGGGGGCGGCGAGTGTGACGTGCCACGCGGAAGTCGCGAGCTGACGTCTCGTCTTCAGTTGACACAACTAAACGACTCGTTGCGTGAGTCAATACGTGTTCTCGCTGAGTGATTCGGGCATACTACTTCCGCCGGTAGGTAACAGAGGTAATTCCTCGCTCTCGTATTTGCTATAGCGGCTACTGTATTCCGCTAGCAAATTGGCCTTCACCTGTCGTATTATAAGAGAGAAAAAAATGTATCGTAAGATGATGGGACACGACGTATATTTGTTTTCTTTCGTTCGTTACGTTAGGACGCAAACCTTGGCTCGCTCCTCTTCAAGCCTTTGTCGCACTTCCTCGTGCTGCCTCTCCAATTCCGCTCTCTTCTTGTCGTAGATCTTCGTCAAGCGCGTGCATTCGTTCACCCCTTTCTCCACAGTCGACTTCGCAACCTCTCTCTTCATACGATCCAGCTCGGCTTTGTCTTTGTGCACTTTGGCCAATTGTTTGACCTTAAACGATAAAAAGTGTGCAACGATCCGATCTCGTTGTGTCATGCATTCTACTCATACAAAGAATATAGCGACTGGAATATAATAATTAAACACGATACCTCGCCGTGTCTCGTGGCCTGTAGCTTCCGCATAACATCTGCGGTTTCTCTATCTAAAAGTACCCGGAGCGTCTTCAGCTGATTGGACTGCGAGTTCTTCATCACTTTCTCAACGGTCGTGAATAGGTTGTCGTAATATTTCTCTTGTAGCTCACGCTCCTGTTGAACGTGTGCCTTGCACACGGCTAAAAATCGCTCACTTTGACTTCTAGGCAAACCCCTGGGCACTCCTTCGTTCCCCTCGCGATTCTCCACCTCCGGGCATTCGGAAGACTCAGCCATAGCCAACGTGCTTAAACCCACTTCACTCGAAAAACTGCTTAAAAATGATGCAATTGAAAATTATAGAATTTCGCCTTGCCCCTTTCGTACACTTACATATTCTTGCTCGAAAGTCGCTTCACCAGTTTATTGCTCATGTAAAACTTGGATTTGTGCTTCTCGCCGTCGATCGAGCCCTTCTGCGCTTGCATTCGCATCTTCTCTTTCTCATGCTTCTTCCTGAGGGACTCGAGCTTCTTCTCGAGCTCGACCTTCTTCTCCCTGACCAGCTTATTTTCCATGAGCTTCTCCAGACTTTCGGCTATTATCTCGTCGCTCACTGTGGTAATAATGAGTGACCGAAATGTACACGCATGAGATAAGAAGGTAAAACGTTAATTCTTAAAAATAATGTTGTCCATAAAATAATAAAAAAATCACAAATTGATCTATATTGCATTGATCCATATAAAAAGTTTAACAGTAATTCAGAGCCTGGGTCAAAAGTTATTCCATTTTAAAGGAAGTTGTAAGGTGAAATGAGTTCGATAAGGATTCGATGAAACTTGCAGTGCGTATACATTGAAATGTTATATAACTCACTGCTCGTGCAAGTAGAAAAAGATCGACCATTCAAGAGCTGAGATATTTATAACAAAAGCTAATACTTTTTATAAGTGTTCCTTGAGATTAGCTATTTTTAATTTCTATTTTTAATATCTTCTAGATTAAAAATAAGATTTTAATGAAAAACTGCTATAGTATTAAAGATTAATATGCAGACATTATACACAAATTTCAGAATTATTCATCACTTGTTTTGAAAATACACCAATGTAAAATTCATTACTTATAATATTCGGAATATATATACATATGCATATATTTATACTTGTATACTTTTATCTTTCTGTTAACTGTACATCTTTATTAGATTAACTGATGCATCAATATAGTATTAATAAGAAAAATAAGAAATAATATCTTCGTATTTGTAATATTGTGTGTCTACTCATGTATGCTCAGTGTCTATTAATTTCAATGTATATTGTGTCTATTCAAATATATGTCTACCTGAAATTTGTTTCAAATTAACATTTACTATTTAGTGAAATAAATATATAAGAATGTGATTTTGCTTAATAAATATTAAATTTATGAGTGGCCCCTTTTGAAGTGCCATTGAAAATACGGCACTAGGGGGCGATATATTCTTACAAAAGAGAAATGAGAAAGAGCACTCACTATTGCTGGCATTGACTGGGCTCTTGCTTATCGACGTGTCGGCTATTTGAACCGCGGCGGGGGCTGGAGCGGGGTCCTCTAGGTCGACCGTATCGGAACTGCCTAAGCC